ATTTCCTAAGTTTTCGTAACTGACTCCTTCTCCCTCCCTGTTACCAGTCTCTTTAGCGATGCTTAGGCTCTTTTSATGATATTCGATGGCCTTGCGATATTTCCCAAGTGATTGATAGGTACTTACTAAGTTTCCGTAACTGACTCCTTCTCCCTCTCTCTCACTAATCTCTTTAGCAATGCTTAGTGTCTTTTCATGATATTCGATGGGTTTGTGATATTTCCCAAGTGATTGATAGGCACTTCCTAACTTTCCGTTACTAATTTCTTCTCCCTGTCTGTTACCAGTCTCTTCAGCAATACTTAGGCTCTTTTCATGATATTTGTTCACCTTGTAATATTCACCTAGTGATTGAGAGGCATTTAACGTTAGTAAATTCACTGCAACTTATATGTAATACATACAATATGAGCGGGCGATTGTACGGTGTGACCGAGGGCGGTCACGGTTATTCGTTTTTCAATATTCCAAAGTTGATACTCAAAATTCCAAAGTTGAGATTCAGTATTCCAAAGTTGAGATTAAATATTCCAAAGTTGAGATTCAATATTCCAAAGTTGAGTTTCAAAATTCAAAAGTTGAGATTCAATATTGCAAAGTTGAGATTCGAAATTCAAAAGTTGAGATACAATATTCAAAAATACAAATTCATCAGTTTTTTATAAGTAATACCATGGAACGAGGGAAATTAGTGATTTTGTGTCGCGATGTGACCTGCAAGCAATCGCGCGTTTGTACTAGTAACTTGTACTTGTAACTTCGAATTGTGACACCATTATCAAAAAACGCGAAAGAAAATAATAGAAAAACACTCATATCACCTTTTGGAGATTTCTGGATAATTTCAATCATATTATGACGTGCTTTTCTGTAATCATCTGCAGAGATCGTTACGACGATCTCCACTTGTTTTGTATTTTCTGGAGCCAGATTGTATAACTCATCGGTAATGATTACTGCTTCCAGACTCTTTTTGAGTTCACCATCCACATAACTAAAAAAAAATTGAATTGCAATCAGTTTATTACRCCTTGGGGATTGGAGGCTCAGGGGGTTCAGGGACGTTCAGGGAGGTTTTGGAGGTTCAGGGCGGTTCGGGGAAATTCAGGTGTAGGTTCTGGAAGTTTGAAGGTGCAGGGAGTCACGTGAGCAGGTAAGATATAATTCAAAGCAACCTAGCTTGCTTCCGATCATTGAGCATTTTATTCACCATGATGTCATCGATTGAAGTGGATGAGGTTGAGATGTTAGAAAAGTCATTTCTCCTAGAATTGATATCAACAGTCTTGCAACTTTCGTATGCATTTTGTTGTGAAGTTGAAATTTGGGAAATAATTAATTCTAATTGCTAAGGATGCGACCTGAACCTTGCAATCAAGATCACCACCAGTGTTTGATGACGGAAAATGAGAATACTTGGAGCCTTTACTTTGTCGAGGCTATACAGTCCTTGGACTCTCTATTCGAGTGTGGAATCTGGTCACGCATGTGTGTAAGATTCTCGAGTTTGATATTCATCCTTCATGGGAATATTACATCTCAGAATTCTAAAAGCTACCAAGGCCAACTGTTTACTTGTCCATATTGCAGTGTGAATGTACATTCTTCTGATCGTACGACTTCACCTCTCAAACAAATCATTCAAGTTTTGACCAAAGGTCCACTTAACCGCAAGATAAAACGATTTTGAAAGATGTCATTCCCAGAAAAATTCCGACTCAAAGAAGAAGAGCCTATAAACATTGATTGTTGTTGAATTGTGAACTGCACATTTTTATCGAACAGGCTTKTATTTAAGAAGAGCTCTAGTATTTTTTCAGCTTCCTTAACTAACRATAAAAGCCACTTAAATTTGAGCATATGGATTCAACTTTTCGGTAGAGCTCTGCTGACAGTTTCTTTTGAAACATTTTCTTTTAAGAATAATTCATTCAGTAAATACTTTCTTTGACCGATTGAATTGCTTCATTCCAACCATGAGTCCACATCCATTAGGTTATYCATGAGCATTATCTTATACAATGGATCTCGTCATTTCAAAAACTCATACATAATTAATGAGTTATTAGGCCAATAGAATGAGCCTATTCGGTCAAATGCATGGACCTTTATATCTGATAAAACACTCCTTAATAGTATTCTTTATATAAAGAATACTAATAAGGGTGACCTTTATAAGACATAAAGGTCCATGACCCTAGTTTGAAACCTGATCATTGACAATTCTCCATTCTGTGAAGAAATTCAAGCTGTAAACATGGTTTAACCGAGTATGTCTTAACTGCACCGTTCCTGGATGTGGTGAGATTTGAATGCATTGATTGATGATCCTTGGATTATTAAATTAACTATGTGCATTTTACAATTAACAACAATCAATGTTTATAGGCTCTTCTTCTTTGAGTTGAAATTCTTCTGGGAATGACATCTTTGAGGCATTCAAAATCGTTTTATCTTGCGGTTAAGTGAACCTTAATCAAAACTTGAAGGATTTGTTTGAGAGGTCGTACGATCAGAAGAATGCTCAAACTGCAATATGGACAAGTAGACTGTTGTCCTTGGTAGCTTGTAGAATTCGGAGATCCAATGAAGAATGAATATCAAACTCGAGCATCTTACACACATGCGTGGCCAGATCCCACACACGATTAGTCCAAGGACTGTATAGCCTCGACAAAGTAAAGGCTCCAAGTATTCTCATTTTCCGTCATCAAACACTGGTGGTGATCTTGACTTGGAAGGTTCAGGTCGCATCCTTAGCAATTAGAATTAATTATTTCCCAAATTTCAACTTCACAACGAAATGCATACGAAAGTTGAGAGATTGTTGATATCAATTCTCGGGAAATGACTTTTCTAACATCTCAACCTCATCCACTTGAATCGATGACATCATGGTGAATAAAATGCTCAATGATCGGAAGCAAGCCAGGTTGCTTTGAATTATATCTTACCTAGTCACGTGACTCCCTGCACCTTCAAACTTCCTGAACCTACACCTGAACCTAACCCTGAATTTCCCTGAACCACTTTGAGCCCCCTGAACCTCCAAACCCCATGCATATACTACTACTAAGGGCTCATCGATTTACAATCCTAGCGAATCCTGATGTRCAACAAGCAAAATCATTCACCTTTCCCACAGTGCATCTAGAGCCTGCACAGTGGACACTTCGACCACAATTATGAAGGACCCCTGGAGTATATTTTTTACAGCCAAACCAGTTGCTACTGTAGCTGGAACAATGGCGCCCTGGACTAAACGAATAATCGTATTTGGATCATCCTTGTAGAGATTCAAGAAATATGCACTTCCAGCAGCAAATGACAGAACTAGTCCCCCTGTCGTCAAGATTTTAATAGCACCACGTATAGGGATCTCAGCTGAAATAAAAGAATTTGTATAAACAACGATATCATGTTCGAATGATTTCTTGGAAATGATATTCTGCACATTATAACGCAGCACTTAATTTTCCACTGTAATCTCCATTTCACTTGCAATCCATTGTCATTAGATTGATAAAGTGGAAGTGAGCAAGGACGTAGAATAAATTTTCATATTAGTGATTTTTGATGTGTGGAGCACCACTTTGGCTGTAGTTCAATGTAAGAGTGAATATTCATTTATTTCCCTTGCAAGTGTTTTTTGAATCGGTTGGTTCTTGTATCTTACTGCGTGCTTGTTGTCCTTGTTGTTCAGCTGGCAGGCCCCATTGGTTAAGCACTGCCAATTCTTGTCGTATGTCTTCAATTGCTTGACCTATTGCWCCTTGTCCTTGCTGTATGTCATCAAGTCTGTCCTTTACTATGAAATAATAACATACTGTAAGCAACAAGACATCAATCAAAAACGAAATTCATTTACTTTCGAGCGATATCATCAGAAYAAATTGCTTGTGTTGTGCAAAGTTTGAATAGTGTTAACAAAACATGAAGGTCTKTTTTCTAGCGGATAAATTTTGAATRAATTCAGTTTATAAACCAGTATCCAAAATTATCCACCTCCCGTCCCTTGATKTTTTGATGCTAAATTACTAACCAGTATTAATTTGTTGTAGGATTTCATCGTCTTTTGATGCACAATCATTCATCAMATTAAAGAGTTCATTCCATGCCAGTTGTTGGACATCTAAGGACATGCATGAAAAATACCGAGGTATTCAATAATTTTCAGTTTGTAACAGACCATTTGTAAGATTAATACTCCAGTTTCGAATTCAAAGCGAATAACCGCTGTTCATTACTTGACAGCAGATTCTATTACGCAAAGAACTTACCAAAGACAAAAGAAAGCA